TGTGTGTGTGTGTGTGTGTGTGTGTGTGTGTGTGTTTTCAAATTACAGACTTTTAAATAAAAATGGGGTTGTACTATGTAAATAATTTTATATATTTTTTTTCAGCTAAAGATATGACCTGACCATATTTCCATGTTGGCAGGTATATTCCTATGTTATCTGTTACCATTAATCACCTCCTCTGTTTGACACTCCCTGTGTCCCTGGCTTCTGGGACTTGGCACCTGAAAGTATGCCTCCTGCCTCAGAGATAGCTTCTTCATTCCCTTTGCCTACAGCATCAGCTCCTGCCCAGGTTTGTGCCCCTGTCCCTGCTTCTGTCTGTTTCAGCCTTGTTCCAACATGGAATCTAATGCCAGAGAGACATTTCCACTTTAGAAAATGTCCAAATTCACGCTCTTCCTCTTTCCTCAAGCCAGCATCCCTTTCCACATTTGTTAGTGATGCCATCTCTCTTTAAGGGGTCTACTGCGACAGCCACTTGTGTCCCACACCCATCTCCTCACACCTAATCAGTTTCCAGTACCTAATCATTTTCTTTCAAAACATCTCAGGGATCCATTCCTTTCCATTCCCACTGCCCCAGGCTCTTGTCCCAAGTGCCACTGTCACTCAATGGTCTCCCAGTGGGCTTCTCATTCAGTGGCCTCCTGTGCACTCTGGCCAGGTGACCTGTTCTCAGTCATCTGTGTGTGTGTGTGGCGGGGGGGCCTTCTCTTGCTCCAGAACCTGGAGTGACTTTCCAAAATCTATACCTTTTCAGGCTCACCCCTGCCTGTATCACCTCATATCTACCGATTTCCAAAACATCCTCTCTGCTTCAGACCAGTCCTTTCATGGTCCCAGGTATGTGCAGCTTCGTTCTCATCCCTGTTACATGGAATGCCTTTCCCTGTACCCACACGAATCTGATCTAACCCACCAGACCGTGATCGCATCTCACCTCTTCTAGTTATACCAGCCCACAGAGGTCTCCCTGCTTCACTAAATTCCTATTGCACTGGCAGCAAGCACCACACAGAATGGACCTCACAGTGCCAACCCTGGGAAAGACACGCAACAGTATCATGCGCATAATTTACTGGCTGGCTTAACTTCCCTAGGGAGTAAGAAGTGGGTTCTAAAGAAAGTAGAGAAGAGGAGAGGTCTAAGGTGTAGAGGATTGGAGGAAGGGGGCCACGATGAGAATAACTGAAAACGAATCTCACCTGTGTGGGTTCCCCTCGGTCCATTTTGTCCCCTGTTCCCAGCTGCCCATATCTGTTATTTCCCTGCATAAAGATTCGGCCAAATTCATCCACCAAGCCAAGGTGATTGTAGCCAAGAGCACAAAATAGTATCTAGGAAGTAAGACAGAAAGAGAAGGCAGGCATTCAGTTCCCTCCAGAGGAACTCTGAGCTCCAGAATCTCCCAGCCACTAACCTGCCATTCCCAGCTGATTTCTTTTGGCCTTGCCCGCTACCTCGCCCCTCTCTCTCTGGGCCCCTGTCCCTCCCTGATCAATCATTTGATTCCTGCTCATATTTCAGACCTCTGGTGCCTTTTAATCCCTAAATCCCCCTCTGTCTGCCCCTTGGTCCATCCCATCCCTCCAGGATCCTACCTTGGCAGGCAGCGAGAGAGCAAGCGGCATCTGCTGGTCCAGAGGGTCAAAGGCTTGAAGGGTCCCAAAGAGATCACGATACACCCCTGGGGTATGCACCTCAAAATATACTCCCCCCTGGTCTGGGGGGTCAGGAGCCCTCAGCTCAGCAGCTTTGGGCACCCATTTCCTAGCGATAAGGCCCTACCTAGGATGAAAGCTACAAGATCCAGGGAGTCTCACACCCACTAGAAATGTACCAGCTATGATATCTGGGAACCTAACCTCATCTTTTCACTAGGATGCCTGAAGGGGTCCACTGCTAGAGTAAGTATAAGGGGCTGTCCATATCTGGAAAGTCTGTTTAAGACGAGGGTGTGGAGAAGAAGGAAGGTGGTTCTTACCTGTGATGTAGAGAGTACTGCTCTGGTTAGAAGCCATGCGGGTCACACGAAGGTGAGGCAGGCAACGGGACACCTTCCTCAGGGCCAGCTGAACTGTGTAGGAGCGTGGCTGGTCCAGCTGGGTTTCATTCACTACCAAAGAGTAGATCTTTCCTTCCTCTGGGAGATGGGGAGAGGCAGACAATGATGTGGGGGAGGGGACCTCCCAATATCCACATTAACTTCCCAATAGACTCTCTAAGCCATAGTGATTAAACACTTATTGGCCTAGAGTGGGGTTGGAAGAAAAAGGGTAGAGGTGAAATACAGGAAGCATGACCTCAAGTTGCCCAGACTCTAGCCCTGTACCACCAAAAATGAATCAGGGAAACCCTTCAGTGTGAATGATGAGTGGAGAGAAAACCAGCAGTTAGATCTGCCAGAATCCAATTTGAGTGTTGGGAGGAACGATGCCTGGGGACTTGGGGCTCTGCCTGGAATTAAGAAGTCCAGAGGGTCTGAGGCTTGGGAGTAGGGTCAAATATAGGGGACAGGGACACCAGTCTGCTTCAGTCAGAACAGCGCATGACTCTTGATCTCAGGGTTGTGAGTTTGAGCACCACACTGGGTGGAGAGATTACTTAAGTAAATAAAAATTAAAATTAAAAAAATGTATACATGTATGTGACAATCAGCAAGGTGGGGGTAAGTTTGGGGTATTAAGTGAAGTGCCTAGCAGGAAGTGAGGAAGATTAGAATTTCGAAAATCAGGCTTTCACTAGAACAGTGGTTTCCAAACTATTTTTTTGCAGCAGGGCCCTTTATTCATATGAAATACACAGAATCTGGGGCGCCTGGGTGATGCAGTTGGTTAACCATCCCACTCTTGATCTCAGCTCAGGTCATGATCTCACAGTTTTTGAGTTCAAGTCCTGCATCAGGCTCTGCGCTGATGGTGCTGAGCCTGCTTGGGATTCTCTCTCTCCTTCTCTCTCTGCCCCTCCCCTGCTTGTGCACAGGTGATAAATAAACTTAAAAAAAATTTTTTTTAAGTTGTTTAAAAAAAAAAAAAAAGCAGAATCTTAGTCTAGGAGACAGACAAAAAGCAAAGCTATTTGGTTTGAGACCAGGATGAGGTGGCATGCAGAAAGGCCTTCCCCTCCCCTGCAGCAGGTCCTGAACCATGTGTAGAAAACAATTTGCAAACCACTGCTCTAGGCCACACCTGTGAGAAGCAGTAGAGCCCGCTGGTTCTCCTGACCAACCAGCACAATCTGTTTGAAGCTCATGGAGTGGTGGAAGGTCATCTTGAAGACCCGCTGCCCACTGGACTGCAGATAGACCTCGACACAGTCACAGGCCCGGCTGCCCGTAGTGCCTACCACTGCTGGCTGCTCCCGGGTGGCCAATACATAGAGGTATTTACGGTAAACGGTGTCACATCTTGGGTCCGAGGCAAACTATAGGAAAAGATGAAGCTGTCTGGGATCTAGGTCTTAGAGTGGAATGAGGCTTGGGGGTGACAGGATCCTGGGGTGAGAAATGAGATACTTGGGTTCAGGGCTGGGAAAAGAGGGTTTAGTTTTCAGTTCCTGATATGGGAGGGCAGACGTCCTGAGGAGAGTACCTCCGGACTGGTGTGGGTCCCGGAGGAGCCCCGGAGGAGGGGTGGGGTCTCAGCTCCTAGGGCTCTGCTACTCACATCCTTGGCTCCGCGACACAATACAACATAGCGGCAGGCTCGCTTCCACTGGATCTGGCCAAGGGTAGAGGAGACCAGGGCATTTTTGAGGAAGAAGAGGGTCCCCGTGTAGTCAAGAATGAAGACATGGTCCTTGGTGGGCAAGAAGCGGCGGTAGCCATGGGCTAGCAGGGGGGCTACACTCTTGCTGAGACAGCGGCGGCGGCCTCCAAATGCCTGGAAATACAGGCCCTTCGTGTCTGGAGAAGGGAAGGAGATGGAAGGCTCAAGGGGTCAGGATGGCACAAAGAAGAGTTGTCAGAGCTTGGGCAAACTATAGTTCTCAGAGAGCCGGGTACTTAGCAGCTCCCATAGCAGCTCCCTTAGCAGCAGGACTGGGGAACAGGTACTTCTCTAAATGACATATGGACAGCTTAGAAGATATCTTTAATAATCCCCTACACAGGCTATCTTTAATAATCCCTTATGCCTGAACTTTAGTTCTCTGCCCCCTACCCCAAGCCCAGGGCACTACACATGCTTCTAAGTGAGGGCTTCTTTAGTCCAACCTTGCATCAGAGACATCAAGGGAAATATAGTACATAGAAAAGCAGCAGACAGAGGAGCGAAAAGGAATGGCTGAGAAAGGCCAGTAACGGCCCTCACCCCTAGCTCTGGATCTGCTATCTGGATCTCCCTGAATCTCCAGTGTGTGCAGTCAGGTACTTAGATAGGGGCTCCCTGGGAATGGAGGGCTTCAGAGCATGTTTCTCAACGTGGGGGTGATTTTGTCCTCAGGGAACATTGGTTGTCACAACTGGGGGGAGCTTTGTTACTGGCATCTAGTGGGTGGAGGCCAGGGATGCTACTAAACGTCCTGCAATGTGCAGGACAGCCCCTCACTCCAAATAATTATTTGGCCCCAAATGTCAACAGTGGCAGGTTGAGAAATCCTGGTTTAGAGGAGGGAAAACTCCAGGTTTGGGGAGTGGAGGAGACGACTGGGGTAGGATTTGGAAGAGAGTTCGAATACGGAGGCTGACTTGGCAGGGATGCTAGTAACGGGGGCTCCGGGTGGGACGTCTATCAGAGGGTGGAGCTGGAGGCTTGCAGAGCTCCTAGATGGATGGCATGTTTGAATCTAACAGGCTCTTCTAGAGAAAGGGGCCCTGGCAGGTTGGCTAGGAATGCTGAGGCAACTCTATGGAACAGGAGGGATCCCAGAATAATAAGGCACAGGATAGAGGCAAAGAGAACTGAGGTTCTGGGGAGGTGTACAGTTAAGAATGGCAGCTCTCTTCCAGGGCCGGACCCCAGAGCCCTGCTCTCGTAGACGAGGACTAAGCCTGCGACAGATGCGTCTCCACACGCCCTCAGCGTCGCACACTTCATGGAAGTAGTGGCAGGTCTGGCCCAGAGCGACTACATCTCTGACTGGGAGGAATGAGATGATATGCTCCACCTGGGGGGTGGGCAGGAGAGAGGAAGCAGGAATCATCAAGGGGGCTCCTCATCACTCTGGTCCCCTGCCCTTTATTCTGGAATCCCTCCCCATGGATGACTCACCAGCTCTGGGGGGAACAGCTGAACAGAAATAGGGTTCCCTCTGCCCTTCTTCTCTTCACCCCCAGGCTCTGGGCCACATGAAGGGCAGCTCCGCTTCACCTACCCAAGGAGAAGGGAGAGCACAGGGATTCCATGAGAGTCAGGCCTCCTTTTCTCCCTTCTGTCAGCCTTTCATTAGCTTCTTTCTTAGGGGCTCATGGCTCTGTGCCCTCAAATCTTCCTATCTTTCTCTCTAGGTCCATGGGACACCCCTCCCTGTCTGCCGTGTTTCTGGGTTCACCAGCTCCAAAGAACCCCTCCCCTGATTTCTTGCTGCCATCTTCTTGTCCTTCCCTTGCCTCACCCTCCCACCCCCTCACCCTGAGCCCCTCCTCCTGTCTGCACAGCCCGGTGAATTTTTGCAGCCTTCTTCTCCGGCTTCTCCTCACCATCTTGACTGCCCCGTCTCTGCTCCTGCCCTCATCCTCCGGGCCCCCCGACCCCCCTGTAGTCAGCTCCCTGGCCCCCGTTCCTGCTGCCTTTCCCACACCATGTCCCCCGCCTGGGCTTGGGGAACCTCTGGGGCCCCTCAGCCTTCTAGGCCCCTCCCCCATGGAGTCTGGGAAGACAAACCTCTCTGTGACCTCACTGTCCAGCCACTGTGACCTATTTTCCCCAACCCTGCCAGGATTTTCTTAGACAGTTCCTGGGTTCTAGCTTGGCTCTAGCCACCCAGTGGCTCATGGGATATGCATGAGCCCCTCCTCCAGGAGAAAGAAAGTGTGAATGACTGCTAGATGAGGCCTTTACTTTTGGAGCACAGTTGTGAGGTTCCTCCCCTTGAGGCCCTTTAGCACTCTGCTCTGTAGAGAAACACTGGTGAATTCTTCATATCTCACCAGGCCAGGGCCTCCAGGGGATTTGTATAAACTCCGTAAGAGGATAACAGTATAAACTACCTAAGAGTATAAACTAACCCCCCCCCAAAAAAAAAGTATAAAAAATATGAACTGTTTGACAGGTGAGGAGGAAAGATGACCCTGCTACACTCGCTTAGAGGGAAGCATGCACTAGATGAAAGTGGGAATAATTCAGCACCGACTCTTTAGTCTTACAAAAACACATCCAAAAGCAGATTTCCTGGGACAGTAACGTCAATGCATGTATGAAGGACAACCTATTAAGGTGGAAGAAAGGGATAGAATTACTCTGAAAGCATAGGGTATCTCCCAGGGTCTAACCTTTTAACTTAGTCTTATGGGGAGAGAGGGCCGCCATATAGGAGAAACAGCTGGAGTTCAGGGTATGTCTGTCCAGGTAGGGGCAAAGGATCTACACCAATAAACCAAAGGGAGTAACCAGCTCTTCCAGGAACGCAAAGGAATCCAATCCTGGACATCCAGCCCTCAGTTGCCTAGTATTACAGACTTTCCTTTACTGCGCCAGCTATCAGTCAACCACCCAAACTCCCTTACTCATGGTGACTAGTAAACAACTAGTTTGAGACACTGCGGATGGAACTTTAAGGATTCAATACATGTTTAGGAAATCTCAACCTCTGAGATGTGATTCACAAGAACCTTTAGTTGTTTGTGATCAGGCAACTATTAACGTGGTAAATGGACTATGTTAATGTGTTAGGTCCTTTTGCCACCTAAAAGGACGTTAAGATCCCTCAGCACACAGAAAAAGGATCCTCAGCTTCCTCTTGGGTCTGGGTCCCCACTATTTCAGCTCAGGAAGCAAAGGAGACGGTGCGAATAGAAAAAGCCCACGTAGAAGTCGCTGGGAAACCGGGCTTCTGCTCTAGCCAACTCCTCAACTTCCCTCCGCCTCAGTTTCCTCATTTGTTAAAACGGCGGGCTTCTTCCGAATGAGATGGTCCCTTATGGACTAACTCCCCTCCCCCGTCTCAGGTCCTGTCATCACAGTTCCCGCCGGGGCGCGCTCCTCGAGGTAGGCTGGCCAGCCGGGCGGTAGTTCAGGAAGCTCTCCCGGTCTCCTGTAACCCTCCCTTCAGGAGCTGCCTTGGGCATCTCCAGTCTCTGGGAAGCCCCCCGCCCGCCAGAGCTCCGGAGACCGCCGCAGGGCCTCAGACTCCGCAGCCGGAAAGGCCTCCACGGTCCCTTCAGTTGCAACGACCCCCTCCCTCCCCGCTGGTCTCAGGCTTCGCCTTGCACCTCACCCCCCTCCTTCACGCCCTCAAAGCAGGCTCGCTCCCTAACATTTGCAGCTCGCACTCGCCTCTCCAGGCCCTGCACTGTTCCCAGCCCGCCCGACCGGCAGCGCTCACGTTCTTTAACCTCCGTCTCAAAGATCTAGCTCACCCGCCTCCTGCTAGGCGAAGGGACCGCCTTCTCGCCCATGCTATTGGTAGGTAGAGCCGTCCCTCAGAGAAGAGGCCGGGCCGGTTCCCTCCGGAAGATTTAATTGGCCTTCTTGACAGTCACTCGCCTGTATCCGGCTTGCGATTGGTCTCCGTTGGAAAAAAAAAAACCCGAGACCCGGCTTGAGGTCTCGGCCTCTATCCCTTCTAGTTGAGCACCGGCGTCCCCGTCTCCTGGTTAGACCTGATTGGCTCCATCTCCAGCCCTAAGCATTGCGATTGGACGCGGCTGCGCGGGGCGGACCGGCCTGGAGCGCCGGCCGTTGGCGAACGCTCTATTCTAGCCCCCTCCCTTCTGTCGCCTCACTCCTGCGCTATAGTCTCCACCCCCCCGGCGGGTTCTGATTAGCCACTTCCAACGCGTCTTCGGATCGCGATTGGTCCGCCGTGTCCCTGAGCGCGTTTCCTCCCCCTTGAAGCGACTACGGCGGCTCCAAGGAGGGGGAGGGGGGAGGAGGGACGGCCGGTCCCGTCAGTCAGGCAGCGGGAGCCGCCGAGAGCGGATGGCGGCGGCGGTAGCGGCCCCACTCGCCGCCGGGGGTGAGGAGGCGGCGGCCACGACCTCCGTTCCGGGGTCTCCGGGTCTGCCCGGGAGCCGCAGTGCAGAGCGGGCCCTAGAGGAGGCCGTGGCCACCGGGACCCTGAACCTGTCCAACCGACGCTTGAAGTACTTCCCCCGGGGCGCGGCCCGCAGCTACGACCTGTCAGACATCACCCAGGCTGGTGAGTGCACTCGGCCTAGTCCCGGGCTGGGACCCTCATTTGCATAGCCCCGCCCCTAGCTTGTTTCACACCGGTCTCGGGAGTCTGGCCCGCCCCTTCACCTGACCGTCGAGGTTCTTGACCCTGACTATTTGCATAAGCCTGCTAACTCCCCCTCCCCACTTTGAGAACTCCTGGACAATGAACCCATTTCTCCTTTGCACCGAACGTCCGGCGCCCTGACCGAGTGTTGTGAGAGTTCCCCGTCTTCTGCTTCTCTTTATTTGCCTTTCTGCGCACCTGTAGAATGGTCCCGCCCCTCACCTGGTTGGCTCATTTGCATGACCTCTTCAACCTCAGTTCTGATCGTTCCTTAAAGCAGCCCCCAAGAGCCCCTCTAATGACTCTTCTCTTTCTCCACTTCGTCTCCAACTCTTTCCCGGTTCCACCTAGATCCGAGCAGCCGTAGGCCCCCCTCTTCCTTAGGATTCGCCCCTAACAACCTGGTGCTTCTGTTTACTGTGCTTATCGTCCCGCCCCCTGGCCCTCTCCACTGTTCACCCAGCAAGCCTATGGGAAAGAAGCAAATCTTACACCTCCCCTAACTCTTTTCTCCGCGAGCTCTTCCACCTATTATCCCTGACCCCCTTATCTGAGACTCCCCCTCCTTCTTGCGTGTGTGAGGTCACAATGGAGCCTGTGACCTCATAGGGACCTTAGAATTCCCATTTCAGTGTCTGCTTTCCCTAGGAGGGGAGGGACTTGAGGCAGTTGCTGAAAGGAAGGAAATCTTATCTCCTGGCATGGAGTTCTGGGAAGCTAGAGACTGTCCCACTGTCCTTCCACTCCTCCACCCCACAGATCGCTCTAATTATGTTCCTCCTCCCTGGTGTCTCTTGATGGTGGGGTGTGGGGGACTCTACCATGACAGGTGAGTCAGGCTTCAGCTGCTCAGGAGGCAACAACCTATGACCCTGGGCTGGCAGCTGGGGGGTGGAGATTGGGAGTGGGCCAGAGGACCGCATTCCCGAAGCCCCACCCCAGCCTAGCCCAGGGGTGGCACTTGGGGCTGGCTGAGTGTCCTCCTGAAAACACTGCTCAGGGACTGAATGCATTTCTCCTCTAGCAGGTGCCTGTTCACCTGCAAACACCCAAGTGGACACAGACACTCTCTTTCCTCCACTGTTCTGGGGAGAACCAGTTTAAACCTCTCCACTTTTCTTGGGTTGCTGGGGAAACTTACTTGCCCACCATGCAGCAAGTGAGTTCAGGGAATGGGTGAGCCCCAGGAGCCATTCCTCTCCCTCTCCGTCTCCCCCAGCCGCCTAACCCCCAAGCTCCAGATTGACCTCAGCAGCTGTGTGACACTCGCCGTCTGTTCCCTTTCCCCTCCCCCTTGCTTGTTTTTTGACAAAGACCAAATGTTATTCTTTACTTCCTTAGGGCTCTGTCTCTGTGAGTGGACTCCTGGGGAAAACTACCAAGAACTCCCTGGCCCCTCCCAGCTCCTACCCCCTCCCCGCCTCCTCCCCCAGCATTCCGGCTCAGGGTGCAGGCAGTTAGTTCTCCCGAGTGAGCTTGCGTGACGAAGTGGGAAAATCCCAGCTTACTGAGGACCTCTCCCTGTCCTGCTCTCCACGCAGAGATCCTAAGTCCTTTCTGGGCTCAGGTTGTAGGCCAGGTGGAATCTGTCTTGTCCAAAATGTTCTCTGACCCTGCTCCCCAAGCAGAAGGCTTATAGTTTGGAGTGGAAAGGGGAAGTAACAGTTGGGGTTGCCCACACCCTGCCCTCCATACCTCCTTGCCCTCCAACCCAGACTAAACACTTCAACACTCCGCCACATTATCCTGAGCCCTCTGCTGCTTTCCCAACTCTTTCTGCCCCACTGTTTTCTCTGCATATTTCCTGTGGCACAGGTCTCCAATATCCCTCGGACTCTGTTCCTTGGGGCCCCTGAAAGTAGGGTGAACCCTGAGATGGCGGGGAGGGGCCGCCCTCACAAAGGAGAAGTGCAGCTCATTCTCTCACAGACCACATCCTGTGCCTCCTGTGCCCTGCCTCCTCCAGCCTGGGCTCCCTTCCACCCCGAGCTTTTGCCCCTTTTGCCCCTGTCACCGCTCAGCCGGCTTGTCCTCTCCACCCCCTTCATCCATGGCACCCGCGCTTGCACACACATGCATTTGGGGATGCAGGGAGAGCAGGCAGGTGGAAGGTGAGCGGAGGAGGCCTGCATCTGGCCCTCTCACCCTCTCCAGAACTTGGGTCTTCTCCCTTGACAGGTCTTCTCTCTGTGCTCCGGGACTGTGAGCAGAGAGGGAGAAAGAAGGACCCCTGGTGCCTCAGGCTGTCACTACCCTGGTAAACATAGGGCCCACCAGAGAGAGAACCCGACAGCTTGTTTCTACTCCATTTCCTGTCGTGAGACTCGTTTCCTTGGGGGATATACCCCAGCTTCCCTCCCAATGGCTTTCGCTCACCCCTTCCTGGGGAGGGCTGTCTAAAAAGCTCACCCAAGTTCTGTTGCCAGAGACATCCCACAGCAGGCCTTGGGCCCCTCCCAGTACAGGCGAGGAGAGGAAGCAGAAATCCAGTCTTGCTTGCAGGGCTCTCAGCAATTACCGTCCCCAGACTGGCGGAAACCCCGTGCCTGACTCCTTTCATTGGAGTAGCAAGCGACCCCTTGAGAATAAGGGGTGGTGAGAGGTTTTATCCTCTCTTCCTCCCTCTCTGCCCCTCACCCACACCAAGATCCTGCAAAAGAGCCGAGTGCCTGAAGTCTGGGTCAGTAAGAGAGGAAGTAGAGCGGGGCTGGTGGGGCTGGAAGAAGGTGGGAAGGAGGCCAGTCCTGAGCACAGTGTATCCTGATGGGAGGGACCCGAGGACTCTAGCTCCCACCTCCAGGTTGATCAGCTTGCCCTCCCTTCCTGGTCCCTGGGAGTCTGTTACTTCACAGACTCTTGGACCTGGCTTGCTGATCCCAGGGGCGGATGAAGCGCCGTTGTCCAGTATGTCAGGAGCCTTATTTAATCTCTAGAGCCAGACTCTAATGGCCCTTGGTTTCTCCCCTGTGTTGAAAAGAGGTTGAGGTTGGGGGAAAGGCCCCTGAGGAGGGATGAGCTTTCTCAGTGGTCTCCTCCAGAGGGTGACAATATTCTTATCTCGAGCCTCCCACTCTATTACCTTGCTATTTTCTCTGGAGCACCAGCCCTTCTCCATAGAACAACAGGAATCACAAGAGTTCTAGAAGCCAGTTACCCTTTCCAGGATAGCCCTTCGTTTGTGTACTTGAAGGCGGTGTTCATGTTTTGCTCTCCCAAGTCTGGGGTTCTCCAGCCCAGTGACCCTGTGGCCTTTACCTTTCCTTTGCTGTTCTGGTAATGTGCTTGCAACATGCTCAAGTTTTGCAGAAAGCTTTGTTGTCTCCAGGGAGCCCAGGTTTATAGGTCTGATTCTTCAGGTCCGAAGGGGAGGCAGACTTCTGGGCAGCTGGCTCTGGGAGAGTTCACGGTCCTTTTGTCCAGGGCTGGGTCTTTCCACAGCTCTCCTCTGATACTTGCTTCCCCTAGACCTCTCCCGGAACCGGTTCCCCGAGGTGCCGGAGGCGGCATGCCAGCTGGTGTCCCTGGAGGGCCTGAGCCTCTATCACAATTGCCTAAGATGCCTGAACCCAGCCTTGGGGAATCTCACGGCCCTTACCTACCTCAACCTCAGGTAGGGAGGTGTGGCTGGGGAGGGGGTGCAGGGTGGGGAGCTTATTCTTCTCAGCCCCAAGTCCCAGTGCACAGTACCCCGAGTCCCCCTCCTGGTGACCCTGAAAAGAGGGCAACCCTGGGATGCCATGCCTGGGGAGTGAGCCCACTGCCTTTCTCCCCTCCACAGCCGAAACCAGCTGTCATCGCTGCCACCCTACATCTGCCAGCTGCCCCTCCGGGTGCTCATTGTCAGCAACAACAAACTGGGAGCCCTGCCTCCCGACATCAGCGCCTTGGGAAGCCTGCGGCAGCTTGTGAGCATAGGGAGCAGGGCAAGGAGAGGGGCTGTCGAGCCAGGCACCTTTGGGGGAAGCTGGGGAGAGGTGGGGACCACCTGGAGGTGGCCAGAGACAGGAGGCAGTTTCTGTTGCTCTTGTTTGTTTGTTTTTTTTTCCTTTTTAATGTTTATTTATTTATTATGAGAGAGAGAGAGAGAGAGAGTCGGGCAGAGGGAGAGCGGGAGAGAATTGCAAGCAGTCAGCGCTGTCAGCGCAGAGCCTGACGCGGGGCTCGATCTCATGAACTGTGCGATCATGACCTGAGCCGAAATCAAGAGTCAGCCACTTAGCTGACTGAACCAGCAGGTGCCCCTGATGCTCCTGGTCTTAGGGCTCCTGCCCTGCTTCTTTCCTCATTGCAGGATGTGAGCGGCAATGAGTTGCAGTCCCTTCCCACAGAGCTGTGTAGCCTCCCTTCCCTGCGGGACCTCAGTGTTCGGAGAAACCAGCTCAGCACCCTCCCTGATGGTAAGGAGAATGAGGAGCTGGAGGGGGGGGGGGGCGTGCGGAGAGAAAGAGTGTGTGTGTGTTGTTTACATTGGAGAAGTCGCAGACAAAGACTCTTCACAGAACATCGATTCACAGAACATCGATGCTTTAGTTGCCTAGGGTTTTGCAGTGTGTAAAACAAATGAAAGAGAGAGTGAGCAGGGAGGGGCAGAGAGAAAGGGAGAGAAGGAGAATGCCAAGCAGGTTCCGCACTGCCAGCGTGGAGCCCGATGCAGGGCTTGAACTCACGAACCATGAGATCATGACCTGAACCGAAATCAGGAGTCAGACACTTAACCATCTGAGCCCTCCAAGTATCCCCTAACTTACTTGTTCTTAACCAGCAACCCTCTGAGGCTGGCAGGCATGGGTTATTAGCTCTATTTCACAAATGTGGAACAAGGCACAGAAGGGAGAGTGAGTGAGTGTGTTGGTACCCTGTAGAATCCCAGGATTGGAAGGGGCCTTCAGCATCACCCGGTGTCCTCATTCACCCAGTGGGAGCTCTCAAGTCGGATGATGCCCTGTACCTCCTCCCCGGAGATTGAGTCAGTGGAGCCACGTGCCAGAGCCCAAGCAGCCCCATTTTAACGAGCTAGCTGTGATCCACCCCAACATTTGATAGCCTTTGTTCCAAAGCAAGCACCCCTGCCCTTAGCCAGCCAGCATTGTCGTGTGTTTCCTGTGTTTTAGGTGGGCGTCAGGTAGATGTGTGTGATGTCACTCAGATCTGGGGCCAACTGTTAAACTGTATTGGCTTCATGGGGAGAGAAGTGGAAGAAAGTGCTAGAACAGGACTCTTAAAGAGCTGCAGGAGCTGGAGGGAAGGCACGTGGCTCTGCTCAGGGAGTTTGAGGAAGACTTTGCCCCAGAGGCATGGCAGGAGCCGACCTGTGAAGGAAAGTTCTCCTTCCTTCTGCATCCCAGGCAAAGCATCCTGGGGCAAAGCATGTGGGTGGGAGGGAGCACAGTCTGGCAGGATGTGGTGAGAAAGGCAAGCCATGGCCAGGTGAGAAGGCCCTGAGCCTTGCTCATCTTGTTCTTAAAGAACAAGGGAGGGAGTCAGCTGGTCACCCATTTTCTCTGAGCTCCCCTTACTCCTACACTGGCTCTCTTTCCTTCTGAGTCAGTAGCAGTGTAAACAAGCATTTGATCAGGATGCTCTCTGGGCCATAAAAAAGACCCTAGCAAAATGCTCTGGGGACACAGAGGAAGGAGCAGGGAATTCTAACCTAAGTGTCTGGAAAGATTTTGTGGAGCAGGCAACACTTGAGCTGAACCTTGAAAAATGGACACAAAAATGACATTGTCCCAGCTGAGCAAACAGCAGGTGGAAAGGTGCAGAAACCGAGGGGCTGGAGGATTGTTTGATGTGGTGTAAGGGTGGGCAGTGAGATGGGAAATGTGGGCTGAGCCAGATCATGAACACCTTGACCGTGCTGGGCCAGGGAGTGGTGATTTTTATTCTGTGTCTCTGGCTACCACTAATCCAACTGTGTGTGTTTGAGAAATAGAAAAAGGCACCCTTTCCTGTGGGTGGGCACAGCCTTGCCTGGGACCGGAAGGGCTTAGCTAGTGAAGTTCAGGTGGGATTGCAGTCCCTTCCTGCCTGGGTCCTTTGTGCAGGGCACAGGCCACTCACCCCTAGCAGCCTTGGCTGCAAGTCATGGAAGATTTTTGAGCTGTGCGACGTCACAGTTTGGTTTGGGTCTGTGATGGTCACTTGGGGATGGAGCAACGGTTGAAGTGTGCAGTGGGCAGGGTGGGGAAAAGGAGAGAAGCACATGAGATGGATAGGAGCTAAGGGAGGGGGGCCTGGAGGGGGCCATATTTGACCAGGAAGGGAACCAGGTAGGTTGTTCCTGGGGAGTGCTCTCAGCCAGTCAGGGCATCCTGTGGTGGACCCCGGGGTGGCCAGCTGGCCAGAGCAGAGGGCAGAGGAGGTGAGCACAAGACCCTCCCCCCCCCTTGGGCAGGCTCCTGACTCTTCCCTCACCCACGCCCAGAGCTGGGGGATCTTCCTCTTGTCCGCCTGGATTTCTCCTGTAACCGTGTCTCCCGCATCCCGGTCTCCTTCTGCCGCCTCAGGCACCTGCAGGTCATTCTGCTGGACAGCAACCCCCTGCAAAGCCCACCTGCTCAGGTGAGGGGTGGGTTTGGGGTAGACCATGGAGACAGAGCTGAGAGTGGGTAGGCGTTGGGAAGTGGTTCCCTTTAGCAGCCAATCAGGATCTGGGGGAGCCCCCTTCCCTTCCCCTAACCCCTACCTTGTGCCCCCTTATACCTAGATCTGCTTGAAGGGGAAGCTTCACATCTTTAAGTACTTGTCAACAGAGGCTGGGCGGCGTGGGGGGTCGGCATTGGGGGACCTGGCCCCTTCCCGCCCCCCGAGTTTCAGTCCCTGGTAAGTTCTAAGTGGGAAGAAAGGACGCTCCTGGATACTTGCTGCCCCTTCCTGGCCGCATGGACTCCACGGGTGTTGGTGGGAAGATGAGAGGGGTCACTGCCTGATATCGGACTGACTAGCTCTCCCTGGCTGGCACTAGCCCTGCTGAGGACTTATTTCCGGGACGTCGGTACGATGGTGGGCTAGACTCAGGCTTCCACAGTGTTGACAGCGGCAGCAAGAGGTGGTCTGGAAATGAGGTAAGAGCCTCTTTTCTGAGGGACGTTGGGGGTCTGAGCCCCGGGGAGAACCTCCTGAGCCAGGACCCTTTGCTTGGTGCCTCTGAATATCAGAGTGACAGTTGGTGGCTGGAGTGGTCTTCTTCCCTTGCCCAAGTTTCCAAGGAAGGGCTGGCTTAGCAGCAGACCCCAAGGGCCTGAACCCCATGAACCCCCAGCATTGCTGAGCAGCTGACTCCCATTTTTGCATTTCTTCATTTAAAGTCAACGGATGAATTTTCGGAGTTGTCCTTCCGAATCTCAGAGCTGGCCCGGGAGCCTCGAGGGCCCAGGGAGCGGAGGGAGGATGGCTCTGGTGAGTGATGGGGTCGGGATAAGGGGACTGGGGTAATGGACAGGTCCCCGAAGGCTCCCCCCTTCTTGCTGACGTGCCCTGGCCTTTCCAGCTGACGGAGACCCTGAGCAGATTGACTTCATTGACAGCCACGTGCCTGGGGAGGACGAGGAGCGAGGTGCTGCTGAGGTGAGGGTCCGGCCCCTGTCCCTGTGCCCGGTAGTGTGCTGTGCCCTGTGGGACAGGAGAGCGAAGGGAGGGAGCCGGTACAGTCTTGGGGGAACAGATCCTCCCTCACCCCCTCTGCTGCTTTTTCTTCAGGAGCCCCGGCCACCAGAATTAAGCCCTGTGGCAGGGGACGGAGAGAAGGCACCAAACAGCAGGTACCCCAGAGCCACCTGAGCCGGCATCTCCTCCCTGAACCCCGCGTCACCCTACACTTTCCCTCCTCTCCTGACCCTGCTCTGCCTCACTGGTCCTGCCTCTACCCCTCAGGCGGGAGGAGCCTGCTGGTGAGGAGCGGCGACGCCCGGACACTTTGCAGTTATGGCAGGAGCGGGAGCGGCGGCAGCAGCAGCAGCAGCAGCAGCAGCAGCAGCACAGCGGAGCGTGGGGGGCCCCCCGGAAGGACAGGTGTGGGCAGAGGGCAGGGGCGGGGTAGGGCTAGGGGGCTGTGGAAATGAGCCCTTGTGAGCTACTCTGTCCCTCGGGGTTTGCAGGTCCGCTGCCTGCACTGCCGACCCCACATCTCCTTTGCTTTCCAGTTTTGTGAAGCTGGGGGTCAGGGCTGCTGGCGGAGGTCCTGCGGCCTCATCCACTCAGGCCTCCTACAAGTATGTGTCCTCCCCGACTCCACCTCCCTGAGCCATCTCCCTGCACACCCTCCCTGGACCCCCTCTAATTTGCTGTGTGTCTGTCCTCAGCGGCATGCCCAAGTCCAGTGCCACCCAACTGGGAGCTTCAGGGGGGCAGGGAGCCCCCCCGGCCCCTGCCCCCACCCCTGCCTCCCAGGAGCCCCTTCCTGCAGCTGGACCAGGTTGGACAGGGACTATGGGAAGAGGATGGGGGACTGTATAGGTGAGGGGGTGGCTGGGGCCTGGTGGTCTGAGGGAAGCATGGGACTCCAGGGGGTGTCTTTCTCACCTGCCCCCTGGCTCTGGCCCCCAGCGACAGTGCCTGCTCCCCGGCCGCTCGGCTCCATTCAGAGACCAAACAGCTTCCTCTTCCGTTCTTCCTCTCAGAGTGGCTCAGGTGGGTTTCCCCCTGTCACCATTGCTAAGCCAGCACTAACCCCTGGGCTGCGGTCACCCCTTCTGGCCTGGGAATTCTCCAGTCTATTGTCCCTTTGTGTTGAAAATCCCCACAAGTACAAAGGCAGGAGATGTGGGTGCCAGACACGGTGACCCAGCTAGAAAGTCGGCAGTGGGTGGTAGAGACAGCCCACATTCCTCCTTTTTCTCCAGGCCCTTCCTCACCAGAGTCTGCCGTGAGGCCTCGGCGACCCCCTCAGCTTCTGGACGAGAAGGAGCTGATGGCACAGCTGCGCCAGGTGAGAGAGGTGGGATCTGTGGGGGCGGGGAGGGGCTACTTCACACCCTGTGGGTGCCTTCAGGAGGATGGAAGGGGTGGGCCGGAGTCCCCACTGACCCTGACTGCTCCCCTGTCGTCCTCCTGCCCCCTAGGTAATGGAGTCCCGGCTGCAGCGGCCCCTGCCTGAGGACCTGGCGGAGGCTCTGGCCAATGGGGTCATCCTCTGTCAGCTGGCCAACCAGCTGCGGCCCCGCTCCGTGCCCTTCATCCATGTGCCCTCGCCTGCTGTGGTCAGTGGGGTCCCAGGGTAGGAAGTAGTGGATGGGGCAGAGGACTGCCAGGGCCTCTCTTACTCTCTTCTTTTTCCTCTCTCGCCCTCCTGCAGCCAAAACTTAGTGCTCTCAAGTCTCGGAAAAATGTGGAGAGTTTCTTAGAAGCCTGCCGAAAAATCGGGGTGCCTGAGGTATGGGGGTGGTGTTCTCAGGAACCCAGGCCCAGTCCCTACTATAGAGTGGCGATGTCCTGGGCTCAGCTGAGCACTCCGTGTGGATGGCAGGGTTCCATTCAAAGGGGTGTCTGCTCCCCAGAAGAAAGCATGTCCACAAGTCCCGGTCCTGCACGCCTCCCTACCCTGCATGCTTCCGTGCCCTGCACTCTGCATGTTGGTGTGGCTCAGGCCTTGGCACGTGAGGGCAGGGGGTGGGGAGGGATTGTCTTGCTGCTGCTGCTGCTGACGTCTGCTCTTTGTCCTTGTCCATCTGTCCTACTCTCCCTTCCCAGGCTGACCTGTGCTCGCCCTCGGATCTCCTCCAGGGCACCGCCCAGGGGCTGTGGACCACCCTGGAGGCTGTGAAGCGGGTGGGGGGCAGGGCCCCCCCACCCCTCTGGCCCCCCTCTGGTCTGGGCGGCTTCATCTTCTTCTACGTGGTCCTCATGCTGCTGCTCTATGTCGTCTACACTCGGCTCCTGGGTTCCTAGGACCTGAAGTCACCCTTTCCCCTGCCCCCTCCACCTATTTCTATTTATAAGACTCCTGTGCAACCCCCATCCCTACCAGTGGTGCCTTCAGCCCCTACCAAAGACACTAGTGAACCCTCTCCCCTCACACACACTGACCTCAGAGGCCCCACTCTGGTGCCCCCAGACCCTGGGCCCCCAGCCTCTGGCCACCCTCCTGTAGCCTCTTCCCGTGCCCCTCACCTCTCCATGCTGATGGTGCCTTCATTCCCTCCAGGCCCTGCCCTTCCCTCTGCTCCCTCAGAGGGTAGATCTCAACCTTCTTCCTTGTGCCGTCCCCCTCCACCCCGGTCCCCCCACTGTTATGGGGAGCTAAATTATCTATATTTTGTAGAGAGAACTCTATATTTGTAGGAGTTGCAGGGGCCCAGGCTGGGTCCCTGTCTCTGTGTATAAATTGTACAGACCGTGGCCGCCTCTGTGTGTGTGTTTGCGTCTGCTCTTGCTGTGGCCAGGCCCAGTCCTGGCTGTGCCCCTTGGGCTCTGTGTGCCAGCCTGCCTACTCCAGCATTTCCCTCTGGAAATGACAGGTCTCTCCTCCCCTGAGCCTTGGCCCCCTGTGTCATCTCCCTTCTGTTACCTGCTGGCAACTTCCTTGCATCTCATTTGTCCCAAGCCATGTCCAGGGTGCCCCTGAACTTTGCTGCCTCCACCTGGGCCATCCCGTCAGCCCTGTTTGCCCAGGCTTCTTTGGGGTTTCACCCACCCTGCTCCCAGGAAGGGCAGGGAAGCCGAGAGAACAGGGTGACATAGGGAACTTAACCCGGGCCCCTCCCCCCAGGAGTCCCTGTGCCAGCCCCATCACATCCTGGAAGAGGAGGGGGCCCCAGGAAGGGGCCTCCCTTACATCGCTGCTGTCGTCCACGCACTGCTGGAAAGGCCATAGGGTTGAGGAAGGGGCGCAGGGCCCCGACCTGGCCTGCAACCCAGGAACAGAGAAGACAGCCGTGCCCGGCTTCTGATTTCTAGCAAGGACTCTGGTGAGGGCGGCCTTGGGCCTGGCCCTGTTCCTTGGGCGCCCCTCGGCCCTCCCGAGGGGTTGGAAGCAGGCCCAGTCCAGCAAGGTGCCTGGCCGCCTCTGGGTGTGGCCAAGGGTCTTGTGTCAAGTGCAATAAAGAAGTCGGGCCCTCTAGGCTGCCCCTCAGGTTTTGTGTGTGTGTGTGTGTGTGTGTGTGTGTGTGTGTGTGTGTGTGTGTGTGTGTGTGTGTGTCCGTCCGTCTGTGAACGAAAGCAGTGCTTCGCGGGGAAAGGGTCGCCTCCGCGTTGATGTTGGGGTTCTGCAGTTCCCGCTTTTGAAGCCACCCTCCATAATAGCGGCTGCCAAGCCTGGAGCCCAGCCACCCCCCGCCCGCCAGGGGCGATCATGGGGATCCCGGGAAGCGCTTGGCGCTCCAGTGGTCAGCTGAAGTCAGTGGCTGAGGCCCAGCACAAGGCTGAGGTGCCTGCGGGAGGTGAGGGCAGTGAGGGGGGGCAGCATGGGGCTCACGGCCGAGGAGTGGGAGGCTTTCTGGGGCCAGTCGCGGACAGGGCCGCAGGCGGCTGGCCTCGCTGCCTCCGCCACGAGGCGTCATGTTACTGGGCAGCCTCGGCCAGTGGGGCCTTGAACAAGAAACAGGCCTCGAGGTATGGCTCTCGTGACCAGGGGAGACCTCGACCTTTGGAGGAAAGCCCTGGAGGAGCCAGGAACTCCCACTTAGGACAGGTGAGGGAGGCTGGAAGCGGAGGGAGAGAATCCGACAGAGACCCCGCTGGTGTCGCGGAGATCTCCGTTGCCGATCCTGAAGAATGGCTGTGCCCAGACTCCATGCGCCAGGCACCCTCGGCCCTGCCCAAGAGTACGGGGAAGCTGTGGCAGTGCACCTCAGTACCTCCCGCTCCCAGCCCGCAGTCCCGGTCCCGGAGGCCCTCCTGGACCCGGAGAGAGCTGCTGCTGTCCCGGCCTCCCCCAGGCCTGGCTGCGGATCATTCCCCGGGAACCCCAGGTAGGTTCAGGCCAGGTCTCCACACCTGGGACCCTTCCACCGACTCCCGAGCCTGTTTTAAATATATTTTTTGTGGCCCCAGTAGCCCTTTCCCCTCAGATGGCCTGGGAGGTGGCCCCCTCAAGGATGACCGTGTTAGCACCATGGGATCCCAACGACAAGGCTAAAGCGGGACCCCGGCTGGTGTGGGTGAGTTGGGAGTGCCTGCGGCTCTGTCCTGGGGGTGGGGCAGGGGTGCCTTCGGAGGGAGCCCAAGCTCCAGTGTTCTGTCATGCTCCCTTCACAGGGGCCCAGCTGTGCACCTGGCACCTCCTTCTCAGGCCGGACCTTGTGTCATCCCTCATTGTGGCCACTGTATGAGGCAGCCTCAGGCCGGGACCTCAGGTCCCTGGCCCCTGCAATAGGACATCAGAATGGAGAGCATGAGCCCAAGGATGCAGGTACTTTGCTTGGGCCCAGGGACTCTGGAGTGGCCCTGCACGAGCTCCTCAGGGAACCAGTGCAGCCCTTGCCGATGTGAGAACCCCAGCCTGCTGCCCTCCCAGCTTCTCCTCCAGGGTTCCCAGTGATGTGCTGTGAAGATGTCTTTGTTTCAGACCCTCTGCTGCCATGTGGGCAGCGTATTCCCCTGTATCTGTCTGAGGCCTCTCAACAGGTGAGTGCACTTCCTGCCCTGGCCTTGCCTATTTTTCATGCAGGGCTTGGGAGGAGACACTCCACCCTCCTGTCTCCTCAGGTGATGGGCTCTCTGAAGCTGCTGCTCCCACCTCCTATCATGTCTCCCTGGGTCCTCCGCACCCCATCCCCTCGCTGCCCTACTGCCTGGCTCAGTGGGCCTGAGCTCATCGCCCTGACTGGCCTCCTGCAGATGAGCCAGGGGCCTCCTAGACCTGTGGCTTTGGAGGCTCCCACACCCCCTGCTGGCCCCCCAGACCCTGTATCTGGTCACCCAGACCCCAGTGGTGGCCCCAGCTGTTCTCACTGCACTGACCCATCTGCCCCTCAAACTCCAGACACACATTGAACATACTCCTTCTGGGTGCAGAATGGGTCCCCTACTCCCCTAGACAGCTTGTGTTGACAATAAAAGTGTTGGTTTGCAAACAGGCTCTTTGTAGTGAGTAGCAGAGTGGGGCATGGAGACAGGGGTGGGGTCTCTTCCTCTACACAGCTTAGGCTGCCCTCCCCTCAAATTCTTGTTACTCATTGGTCACCCCTACAGTAGCTCAGGGGAATCCACGGACCTAAGACCTTTCCAGGCTGACCAAGGAGGGCACCTTTAATAGGGCAGGGTGTGTGTGGGATCCACAGTACAGTCCCCCAGACAGTATTTGGAAGCAAGAAGTCTATCAGCTCTGCCAGGCTCCATAGAAGGGAGGATTGTGTGAACACATGGCTGGTGCTGAGAGAGGGAAATCAGGGAGTAAGGGGGTGGCACAGCACTTTTGGGAAGCAGTAGAGAGAAGGTACCTGGTGCTTTCAGCCCTCTTGCTTTGGGGTCCTAGGAGTTCAGCCCTGGGGCTGGGGATTAGTTCTTTGGCTGGGAGGAGACACAAGGCAGGTAGGGAGGAACAGGTCCACGCAAGAGAAGTCAGCCAGCCTGGGAATCTGGAGTGATGCTTCAGGAACTCTGCCAGGAGAGAAAGGATCAGGGCTTTGCTGGGGGTTTGTGGGCAGGAAGAGGGGAGGGTGGCTCTAGAATTTTATCCGTTAAAAGAATCCAGCTTCTTGGGGAACCTTTTCCTGAAGATTCCCCAGGCACCACATCTGGAAGGAGCAGAGTGGGCAATAGGCCTAAGGGCAGCTCAGAGCTCTGCAAGTCACAGGTCCTGGGGGGGGGGGGGGGGGGGGGGCAGCGGTGCCTAAGAGCCCCTCCAGGTTTGGAAGGGTGAGGGGAGGAATTGAGGGGAGCTGGCAGGAAGGCATTTGTCCTGTTTTCTCTCTCCTCCTCCCCATCCATCCGTCAGCTAGACTGGAGGGGGCTGCCTGTGTCTCCTCACCCGAACCTCCCTGAGGTTCTGGAAGTCGATGCGGGCATAGCTGTGTGGGTGGTGAATGCTGGACCCCGGGGTGTCGCCTTGAGCCTCCAATGGAGGGACCAGGTCCAGGTCTACATAGTTGAGGCGGTTTTTGGCCAGGTCTTGTATGGCAGTGCTCATTCCTAAGTGGTGTGGGGCCACGTACCTGATGCACACATACTCTCCTGCTAGCTCCGAAGGTGGTTGCAAGCAGGGATGAGCCCCTGTCGGTCCCCAACATTCCCCGACGGCGGGAGGGGGGCCTTGGAAAGAAGGTCCCGGCCTCCTGGGCCTGGGCGTATAGGAACGGGGCAGGGAGCTCAAGGAAAAGGACCCTGGCAGAAAGTGGCTCATGGGCACGTATTCAGTGCCCCCGCACCCCTGGGGCTGCTCGTGGGGAGGGGCATGGGCAAACGCGGCAAGGCCCGGGGGTGCCATCACCATGTAACCACCTGCTTGGCCACCCCCCATGGCCTCGTAGTTGCTCCCAGCTCCCATGGCTACGTAGCCCCCGCCCCGCTCCAATTCCCCAGGGTGCGAAGCTGCAGTCGCCAGCGCCGCCAGGGTCTCAGGGGTTGCTTTCTCCTTCCTCTCACCCACGCTCCCGCGATGGCTCAGGCTGCTTGATTGGGCTGCCAAGGCCAGGGTCGCATAAGGTTGGGAGACAGAGGGTCTGTAAGAGCTCGTCGGGGGATCCCTTGGCAGTGGCTCAGTCCTGCCACCGGCATCATCATCCCCGAGTCGCTTCATGGCGGCCAGTACGGTCTCGTGAATGCTTTGGGCCACCACGGCATCCGGCGCCTGTAGCCACAGCTCCCCGGGGCCCGTGGGCGCCGAGCGGCCGAGTTCCAGGAAGAAGAGGGAGTCTGCGTGGCCGCAGCGGCGCACGCTGAGCAGCGACAGGCGCAGGGCCGGCGGCGGCGAAGCCTGGGTGTCCCGAGAGCCTCTGCCCTTGGGCTTCCGCAGCAGGCTCAGCACCCCCGAACCCAGGCACAGGCGATAGCGGCCGCTGCCCAGGCCTCGTGTCCTCCCCAGTCCCTTGGGCCGCAGCGTCACGGGCCAGACGTCCTGAAATGGAGCAAGGATCCAGGCCCTGGGGTCCTCGTGAAAGCTGGGACCTGGAGAGATAGTGGGCTGATCACAAAGGGCTCCTGGGTCCGGAGGTTGGAGTCACTGTGCCCCAAGAATTAAAGAGGTGTTAACGCTTCATGTTTGAACTTCATATCCGAGACTTGCTGGGACAACCTAGGATAAAACCCGCGATCACCCAACCCCCGGTTCCCAGCCCCCCGCCGCGTCTCCACCTGCCAAGGGGTCGGGCCTCACCCGCGGCCGCGCGCACCTCAAGCAGGGCGCTGTACCACGCCTGCTGCTCCGCCTCGCAGGCCGCCGCCACGCCCAGGCTGCGGTCACGCGTGTACAGGAGGATCAGGTGGCGCTGGCGCGCGTCCACGCGCGTGCTGATGGTGCACGCGCCCGCCAGGCTCACGATGAGCTTGGGCGGCGCTCGGCCGGCGCGGAACTTCTTCTCGCTCTCGTAGCACTCTAGGCTCGGCGGATCCGCGCGCAGCACGAAGAAGCGGCGGCGCTGGGACTTCTGCTTCCGAAGGTGGCCGCAGAGCCGCACGTCAGCGGGACAGGCCCTGGGCCGCGGCAGTACCAGGGGCACGTCGCCCAGCTCGGCCTCTGGGGCCGCCGTGGGACCACCGCCTCCCCGCTTCATCACGGGCCAAAGGCAATATAGTGGCCGGAGTAAGGGCTGAGATTCAGTAGGGTGGAGGTGGCGGTCCTCAGGGAGGAGGGCAGCGTCCAGACAGGTTGCCACCTGTCTTTATGCCCAGCGTCTCACCCCTTCCGACTTGAAGTTTGGGCCTGGGATCTGCGGTGGACCCCTCGCAGCGCGCAGCGTGTACCCCAGTGGTTGCCCGGTGGCCTGCGACACACGGGGCTCCAGCGGCCTCTGAGGCCTGACCCAGGCCAGCCGGCCGGCTCCCCGCGCCTTGGGTCGCCTCCTGTCCCCTCCCTCCCTTTGCCGACCGCTCATGAATCCCCACCCCCACGAGGTTAACCCTCATGCGACCGGAGCGCTGGACACCAGGCCGTGGGAATGAAGTCTGGGAGAGGTGGCCTCCACCCCACCCCAACCACCCTTGGGCTGGGGTTGCAGGGGCGGGGAGTGTGTGGGCGTCTCTACAAATCCGAGCTGACTGCCAAGGAAGCGACGACCGAAGTGAGGCAAATGTGAGTGGAACTGTGTCGGAGGCAAAGGCGCAGGAGTCTGCAGTCCTGGAGATTAGGGGACCGCCCTTACTGCAGCACTGCCTTTCGCTCCTGCCACTGGCTACTGGGGCTCTAGGCGTCCAAAACCTGTGTCCTCCATTCCCACCCGGGAATGGTTCTGTACCCTTCCTTCCCAAGCCAGCCTAGGAGCCAGGGCCACCAATCATTGGGCTGTGCTGATTTCAGAAGAGCTGGAGTTCAGTTTCTCTCTGGGTTTAGAGTGATAGGAGGGGTCTTCAGAGAAGACTTTTGGATTGGTCTCTGTGCACAGACCATTCCACCAGAATTCCAGTCAAGGGGACACTGAAGGAGAACCCGGGGAAGAAGACACCCTCTCTCTGGGGCACTGCCCTCCCGCTGCCCTCAGCCCCTTCTCACCACCACTGTCCCAAAATGCTACCATGGGCCAGCTGAAGGCTTTGATCAGAGGTGCAGACTCTCTGGTGGGGGAACCCCATCCTAAGAGATTTGAGATGGAGTTGGGGTTCAGACATTTTACATCCCACTTCTGACCCTTTCAAGGATCATGACTCCTGCTGGGGTGATGGCGCTGGTCACCACACACTCTAGAAGACACACCACCAGGAGATGACACGTGGGTGGGAGCCTTTGAGGACTTTGTGCTATCATTCTCATGGCAAGTAAGATAGCTAAGGGTGGGGGTAGGGTGGGGGAGCCAAGGGTCGAGGAG